GGGGGGGCGCTATATAGGGCCTCCTACTGTACTGGATCATTATCGAGGGATGCATTTGGGACTGAACGTTATTGCATGAGACTGAACGTGATTGCATGGGACTGACCGTGATTGCTGGGGACTGGACTTGCTCTCTTGGGACTGGAATCACTTGCTGGGGACTGAAATTGAGCCGGTTGTATGGAATGTATGATGGGTTGTACCATGCTGGGGACAAGTGTTGGAGAACTTGAGACGTCTGGGGACAAGCTCAGGGGGTTCTGTCCGGGGATTGTAGCTTTGGAGGCTTCTCGATAGGTGGCTAGGACCGGAGACTGGGACACCGTTTTTTGAGTATAAATATGCGTGGAACATTCTTGCAAACACACTCTTTCTGGGCCCACCATCGCTGCTGTGCACGTGTCTTTGTTTCCGAACTGTCCCCGGAGAGTGTGTGTGTGCCGCATCCCATTTCGCCTGTGGGGAAGGAAGTGATTGCGGCGTCTCCCGAAGATCGGGACCGCATTCGATGCCCATCAGCCCGTTGCGACGGGTGGTCTGGCAATTATGGCTCTTCAGGACAGGCCTGCTCTGCATCCGTCTGGTGCGGCTAAGGTACCCGGGTTACCGCCACAGCAACGAGTGAGTGGGCTTTCAAGGAGGACGAAAAGTGCAGAGCGTCGGGCTGAAGCCCCGACTTCTGGAGTGGCAGTGTAACAACGAGATGTGCAAGACAAAATTGAACAAAAAGCAGCAAAGACGATGGTGCAACAGAACAGGATGAAGTTGTCGGACAAAGCCCCACAGAGGCTGTGAGGACAGTCAGTTCATTGCGACTGCCATGCACCCACACAACAAGAAAAAGAAAAGTTGTATCCTGGTCAATGATAAAGTCTTGATGATCTTGACTCCCCACAAATGGGACCACCGATGCATCCCCACGCATTAAGAAGAGCCTCCTCTTAATTCACACTTGATAGGCCATTCACCACTATGTGGCAAACATACATTAGCATACATGAGCTGCTGCTTTGGCACAAACCAGCCAAGATCCCCTGCTGACATCAGCATCAGCGCCTGCCGTTCCTAACCATCTCCCACATCCGGCCCAATCTATTACCCTTCCTTTCTGTTGCAATCGACTACGTTTGCTTCTCGGCCCTGTCAACCCACATGCCGCTCACTTTCCCTCCCACGTTTCAAGCTTTGCTCTCTCACATGAGGCCTGGTCCAAACGCGGCGCTACCACTGGGCGTGCCACTTCGGCTTACTCACCGTCTCATTGCCGCACTTTCCTTCTTTGTTGCTGGCCTCCATGCCAGAGCAGCTCACTGCAAGTAGGCATGCAACATGCACACACAATTCAAAGTTTCTATCAACCTGTGCACCTATTTCGCACCGAATTAACCCGTTCAATTCCAGCCACACGTAAAGCAGCAGGAATCGTGACTCAAGAATTCGCAATGGACATTTTGGCCCACCCAAGTTGAGACCATTGCACTGTTCCGGGCCATCTGCCGCGCACATTACCACCCCATTTTACAAGTACGCAAGTATGCTACTCTGCCAACCCAGCAACTGGTGTCCGTATTCCCAGGGTGCCACACTAATGACAGCTCTTAGGGAAGCTATCTGCACTGAGTACAAATGCAAGTTGGGGATATGGGCGTTCCCCCACTCTTCCGGACTTTAGTTCATTCAACTAAGACAAGTTGATCTCCTGCTGCCCACCTTCTGTCCACCCCTTGCGCACCAACTTCTGCCCCCTAAAAGCAAAACCTCCAACGCTTCACCCACAGGTAACATCCCAGTACATTAGGCACTGACACATTAAACCCGTGGGAATTATCCACTACTCCAGCCAGTGCCTGATGAGCCCAGCAGTTTAATGCGTCCCGCACATTAAGCACTAACGGTTCTGTCCACCATTACCTGCCTCCAGTAGCTTAAGCAAGGATGAACCATCGTACACTTTCCCGCTCGTAGTGCATCATGCAGATCCGCATCTACCCAGTATTTAACCGCAGTGCTAAGTCTTCTTTGTGACCCCACAGTGGTACTTCAGGAACTTGGACGCATCCCTCTCCGCCCGGTGGCACAGCACCCTCGTCAGCACATCTGCATCCATCGCCCTCATGCCGCCGTTGGTCAACGATTCGCTTGACCTGGCCAACGTCCCTTTTGAATCGGTCAACCGTCTCATTGACCTCGTCAACCCTTTGGTCAACGATTCGCTTAACCTGACCAACGTGTCTCTTGACTCGGTCAACCGCCCCATTGACTTCGTCAACCCTTCCTTTGACTGGGTCAACGCTGCCCTGCAGTTTTCTATAAGTGTCTCCGTGGGCAGCCCCATGAGTGCAACAACTTCGGCGGGGCCACTAAATGCAGCATCCACAGCATGCCGCGGCAAGCCTTCACCATCACCCAAAAATAGGATCCGCATTTTTTGAACGTCAGCTTCAATAAGGACTGCGTCTGGCGGGTGGAACAGCCTGCATGGGCCGCCGTCAAGGAGCACACGCTCAAAGCACACAGCGCAGGTGGCCATCAGGGCGCCTGGGTTTGCAGCAATCCACAGGACAGGAGTCAGCAACACTAAATTTACAATGTTTACAGTACATAATTGGTAGAGTGAGTACCAATGGTAATTACTATAGTAAGTACTGCAACTACCACGACTACACATCAACAGTACTTTACTTGCACAAAAATCAACAGCAGCACATTAAGTGCACTTTCCAGTACTGTGTTATTTAAGCACTAAGCACAGCGCACACATGCTCATTAGGGTGCCCAGGGTTGCCGCACTTTCACAAAGGTGTCAGCAGTGCCAATAACAGTACTGCAAGTACACAAGAACTGGCCAGAGTACATTGACTGCACCATCACTAGTTGCCATGTTGCATTGTTGAGTGGTAAGCATTGTGCAGACGTAGACATCAGGGCATCTGAGGGTTGACACATCACAGCAGTGGCATCAGGAATACCAGTAACAGAACTGCAAGTCCTGTCACTACCAAGAACTGACTGCAGTACATCAAGTGCAGCATTACTAATCGCAGCACTGCGTCAGTGATGGTTGAGCACTGTTACACATGGTCACCAGTGTGCCTTGGGGAGTAATCCCAATCACAGCAATGAGGTCGCCAGCACCAATCACAGTGCTGGCACGGGATTGCTCATTGCAGTACAGCAAGCGGATTTTTACTCATTGAGCACTGTTACACATGCTCATCAGTGTGCCTTGGGGTAATCCCAATCACAGCAATGGGGTCCCCAGCACCAATCACAGTGCTGGCACGGGATTGCTCATCGCAGCACAGTAAGCAGAGTTGTACTCATTGCAACACTGCATTATTAAGTAGTACACATTGGCCAGGAGCACTGCTCACAGCGCTGCAGGCAGGGTGTCAATGGTCGCAGTACATCAAGCGCAGTGTTGATCAATGCACTACTGTGTTACCAAGTGCTGAGTACGTTGGCCGCGTGTGGCCGTGCTCACCTGCAATGCTGTCCCGTGCGCCCTCCAGCGCCTCGCTGCAGCAGTCCCCAAGCTCCCTGTTCAGGGCGTCAAGTATTGGATCTATTCGGCACTGCTCCACACCGTTCCGATACAGTGCCTCCAGCCAATCTGCCCTGTGGTCCCAGTAGACCAGCTTGACAGCCAGAAACTCACATGTTGACTGTGTTGACTCGGTCAACTCTGTTTGTGCTGTCTGGAGGGCGCCGGTTATCCAGGATGCATTGTCAGCAGGGGCCGGCTTGGCGGAGCGGAGCCAGGATGACTGCAGCAGGGACTCCAGTTCGGGGAGGCTGGGGGACGAAACAAGTGCAGCGGTAAGTACTGTGCACGGGGTCGAAAGTACTGCACAATGTACTGGCCATGGCCATGGCAGCAACGCATCCCATTTTTAGTGAGCCACCACAAAAAAGTGCTGTGGGCAGATCAGCAGTATGTGCTCAGGTTGCAGGCATCCCGGCTGCCAAAAATGCACCAGCTTTCTGTTCAGTTGCACCAACATGCAACGGAACACTGTTTTGTTAAGTGCTGAGCACGACAATTTACTGCACCAAGATGACAAAAAGCCTCCAGTGGCAACACAGTACATTGACTTTGGATTCCTGCAATAGGTGCATGAGGCGCTATTTGCAATCAGAAATCGCATCAACCACAGCATGAGCACAGCAGCATGGTGGTCATTGACCAATGCATGAGCATGGCTGTTCATTGACCAATGCATGAGCTGGCCAGTGCAGTTGGGTTGGCAACGCCAAATCCCCTATCACGCAACCTGACACAGCGATTCGCCTTTCAAAACGCGGTACAACATAGTACAATGAAGTACAGCGCATTGTTCCACCAAAACCTTGCGATCTGTAGTTCATCGCACAGTGATCGCTGCACCGAATGTTCTGTGCGGGGCAGAAAGCAGTGCCTAGCACATACCTGTCCCGTATGAACTGCAGAGAGTTGACCCTGACGACAAGACTGTTGACCGTCAGCCCACTCACAAACTTGTAGTTGGGCTCCGCCCCGATGCTGGGCACCGCTGGCTCAAGCAGCTGTTCCTTCAAATACGCTTTCAGTTTTTTGACCCGCCTGGTGACGCCCATGCCACGCTTCACGGGGACCTCATCGCCCTGAGCACAAAGTACATGCCACGCAGCCATTTCAGGAAAAGTCGTGCAAGCAAGTACTGTCAACTACTGCACCACTTGCCAGTTTTCACAACCTTCTAAGGACAAAATGGTGCCTGCAAGTACTGTAAAGTACTGCACCATTTACCAGTTTTCCCAAATATTGGGAAAGGGAGTTGGCCACCCTGAATGGTTGGTGTGTGATGCCAGCTATTCACAGTGGTCACGTCCCCATCTAGCTGGTCACCTGAAGCCAAACTGATATTCACTTTCTCAAAACAAACTACAAAAGTAAATGTAGATGCACAAATCCATTGCTTAATACCCTGAAACGTCAGTTGTTTTCTATTGACTACCTTGATATTACTTTAAACTTTAGAACAATGCGAAGACAAACAGAAACATAAATCAGCAAGACATAAAAGATAAGCACAGAAGTAAAGCACAAGTACAGATCACCAAAATGGCGATCTTTGCTAGTCCTCGACTCCTCTGCCAGTTTCTGTTGAACAAGAACTGTGGCGTGCTTGCCATCCCACCTGTGCAGTCCCAGTGCTGCTTCGCTTTTTGAATCGCGTCAGCGGCGGCAGTGGAGGGATGAGATCTTTGGCTGGTCCAATGCCGTGCACCACATCCAGCCCGTATCCTTGCAGGGCTTGGTCGATGTTGTTCATGAGAGTCAGGATCACCTGGGGATTAGTCATGCACACAGAAACACAAAGTAAAGTAGTGCAAGACTCGCCAAATTCCCTGGGAATCTGTCATGCAGGCAAAGGATGGCAGCCATGCGAGTAAAGTGCTGGGACAGCAGCCAAGTCCCCTTGGGGGGATTAGTCATGTGGACAGAAACGCTTTGGTAAAATGCTGCAAGAACCATTACGTGGGCTGGAAATGAGTCATGAAAGTCAAAGTGGCGAAGAAATGGCAGAACCAAAAACTCGAGCTGCCTACAGCCTAGCCATCAAAAATGCCAATTGGTCTTGTGCTCAAGTTATTCGCCTCAAATACAGATATTTGCGTGAATAGCAGATAGCAGAAGCTGCAATACACAGGCAAGCGCCAAAAAGCGGCAAAAATAGTGGTCGAAGTGGGGCAAATATATAACGAAACAACAGATGGCAGTGTAATCGCAAGTTCATAATCGCAGTATTTGATCGTTTGGATCATTTCTGCAAAAAAAACAACTGCAAAAAAGGGCGAAATGGGACATGATGTTCCGAGTCACCTGTCTCGGGATGGGCAGGTCGAGGGCAAAAAGCGCGCGCACTGAATCCATCAGAATCTTCATGAACTCCACCGCTGACCTGAGCACCAATATGCACAATCAAGAAAGAAACTATAACATCAACGCATGCAGTACACAGTGAATAGGAAAGCAATAAATAAACATGTAAATGTGCAAAATTCATAGCAGGAAAGAGATACCATCAGAAGCTTGATCAACTCCATGGCTGGACCTGGGCATACATTCAGATCATGTAGAATCAATCGGCAACCAGGAAGAAGTAAGAGATCAAACAACCAAAACGCCTCAAACAACATTATTGGTCGCAGATTTACGATCCAGGTACTGCGCAATACACTGGTAGAAAAAGTCATGTTTGCAATGCCAGCTGCGATGCCATTTTGACACAAATTGATGCCATCACAGTGAGTGCGATGGCGTAAAAGCGGCTGTGATGGCATCAATTTGTGTCAAATGGCATTGCAGCTGACATCGCAAACAGGCTGTTTTCTGCTAGTGATACTGCAGTACTACGCCACAGCACACGTGCTAGTTTTGCACAGAGCCAGGCCTGCTGTTTGCGTTTATGTTATGTTTACGTTTTTGCTTTGAAACTTTTATGTGTCATATTGCAAATTTGCAAAAGGGGCTATTTTTACAGCTGTTTACGTTTTTGCGGCTCGTTGTGGCACCCAGGTTACACAATAAAAGTCGCGTACAAAGATCAGTCCTCTGCCCCCTCAAGCACCCACAACACAGCATCGAATTCGCAATCGGCAAGGGCCACGACGGCGTGGAACAGAAGTTCGTTTCTGCCTATCCAGCGCATCTGGCTGCTACTCCCCGGACTCCCAAAGGCTGTATGTGTTGTCCTTATGTACAAGGGACTGCATTTTTGCACGTATGTACCAAGCTTGTACAGAGCCCAGCCAGACATCACACTGGACTCCTGGAGAAAACGGTACCAACTGCATGATACATTTTTTGTCACTATTGTACTGCATGTGCAGTTTGCAGTACATTATTCGCCCATATGCACCACACTTGTGGTTTCCAGTACTTTAAACAATACTCTATTCGCACCACCATGAGGACACAGTGTTAAACGCTGCCGGCAACTTCCTGTCCTTCACCCCTACGAAGCTCTTCCACAATGGTGCACCTCTTGCATTCAGTTTGTATGCAGCATGTATGCAGCACTTTGCATGTACTTCATGCATACTACACTGTGTGCTTTTTGCGGTACTTTACACAGTGCTTTACACACCCTCACCTGGACACTGTGTTGGATGTTGACAATGGTTTCCAGTCCTCTGCCTCAATCAGGCGCTTCCGCCAGCAGTGCACTACCTGCATCTGCTGGTCCACCCACTTGAAAAGGTGTGGCCGAATGACGTCGTTGGTGCCCCAGAGCTCCAGGTCCTTGAGGCCTGCCCCGCACCGGTCCACGATCGCCTGGCCCACAGACACAATCCGCATTTCAGTCAATCGATTTAATTTGATTGATTCGATACGATTGGACATGATTGAGCCGATTCGATTGGACATGATTTTATTCGATTTCATTCTGTTTGGTACCCCATCAGCACGCGATCGAGCATCAAAATGGACTCACAAGGAAGCTGCTTCTTGTGAGCATTTGGTTTGGTGGGGAGTTTTTAGAGCACTGAATCTGAAGATCGAATGATGTGAATGCTAGATCGGACAACTAAATGAGGCAATTTGAGATAAATATACAGATACATAGTGAGAATGATTGTACAAAACGTAGACTAATAATAGCAGCGATATACAGTTTCAACATAAATTACTTTTCTCACATCTGGAATGCTCACAATGCCATTACCACCCATGCCTCAAGGACTGTTGCCCCACACCTGTTCCAGTCCATCGTACGCCTTGCACATCCCGATGCAGGCCTAATACTATGTAATACATGCTTGTACCACCCACTGGCACCATCACTGAAACTATTCCTGAAATCATCACTGAAATAGGCGCTTACTGAAACACTGTGTGCTTTGTCCTGATGCAGGTTTGGCCCTTTGCAAAACTTGCTTGTACCGCTTACTGATACCACTACTTACTGAAGTGATAGTTGTCCTTTACTGAGCTAACCACACCTTCTCCAGTCCATCAGCTGCCTTGCACATCCCTATGGTGTCCACATCCAGACCTTCCAGCTTCCTCAGGCTTGGCAAGTAAACCTCCCCAAAGCACTCGTGCAGCTGCCGGCAGGCCACCACCGCTGCCCTTGGGCACACCCTCCGCAGCGGATTGCTGTATGTGGCCAGCTCTGACTCCATGATCTGACATGTGGATCCGGCAAGCGCTTGCAACTTTACAGTGCCGGAGAGATCGCCATGGGAATCTTTGGCACGAGCAAAGGCCGCGCGGCACGAGGCCTGGATGCATTCGACCACGATGGCATTCACCTCGCGGCCTCGAGCGTCACCGTCGTTGGCATGATGGGCTGCGTTGACCACATGCATGGTGTTGACCCGTTCAGTGGGGCAGGCTGCATCGACCGCATGCATGGTGTTGACCTCATGCATGACATCGACCTGCTTGACGGCGTTGACTGCATTGACCACAGGCATGGCATCGGGCTGTGTTGTGGGAGTAGCTGCATCGACTGCAGTGATTTCTTTGACTGTGTTGACTGACGGGTCGGCTGCCTTCCCAGCAACGGCGGCAGCAAGGATGTCGAGGTAGTCTTCGAGACCACGGATTTCAGGGAGGTGGAGGTGGTAGTCACTCAGAAGCTTCTGGATCCATGCGATCACGGACCTGACAGAAGCAAAGCGGCTGTTGACATAAAGAACGCCAGAATGGCGGCAAAACAGAATACAATTACTAAACAACATAACACATTAATATTATTAATATTATTCTGGCAACATTATCTGTGTTATTAGTGTTTAAAGCATTTTAAACATTATTACAAAAATGTTTACTTTCAATTCAATATTTACGAAAGAAGATATGTCGATTTTGGTACACTTAGCGTCAATTTGACGTTAAGCCCAGACCCACCCACCCCATTCGCGTCAATCCTTATGTCGATGCCAGGATGACTCAGTAGCCTTTCATAACAGCACTGGGCAAGTTCCAGATGGCTTTAGGGAACACAAACAGCCAGAAATTGCAGCGATTGTAATGCGCTGAAAAACTGGATGACAAAGGCCATTTGAGGTGATTGGCGCAGCCCCAATGGCTGTCCATTGGGATATTCTGGGGTCTTCATTCACGCTTGAACGCTTTAGGGGAGTTGGGGGACAAGTCACGAGCAGTCTGCCTTGGATCAACGGCGTTTTGTGTATCTTCCCAACTTATGCCGACATTGTTTCAGGTACATAATCTCTTAGCGTCACATGTCGGGAACCCCCACACTCAACCGCCCAAATCTGCCCCCCCCTGCTGTCATGTTGATGCTAAGCATACCAATTTCGACATAGTGCCTTCCCCTATCTAGCATTGTAGATCCAATTTTGACGTACCTGATATGTGGATATGGCAACAAAGCTGTCCCCAACTCCATTTGCAATAATGCAGGTGCAAAGAGTCCTTACCCATTTTCAGTTCTTAACAACAGATCCATTGTTACTGTAGCTTAATAGTGCTTTTACTGTGATTTATGGTACTTTCCTGCTGTGGCTTTTAGCTACTGTAGTACAGCATTTAAGTACTGTAGTTTCCGGGCCTGCAATTGTGACGAAATGACTCACCTGGCCACCTCCCCAGCAAATCTCCGCTCCTGCTCCCGCTGCTCCTCAGCTTCCACTGACGTCAGCACGGAGGCCTCTGCAACTTCCCTCAGCTGCCGCAACAGATGCTGCACCTGCACAGCACGTATGCATATGGATCTGCATTCGCCATTTTTCACTATTTGCACATGTTTATATATTCATTTATTTGTGCGTTTCTTTGAGAGTTTTATTATCCCATTTTCCACAAGAACGTTTTTCGAAACGCCGTACGCAGACAGCTCAGGCAAATACTGGGCTTCCTGATTCCCAATGAAATGAGCAAACAAAAAAAATAAGTAAACAATCAAGCACAGTATGATAACTAAATTGTCAGTGAACGAGTGAAGCAATGAAAATTACAAACACAGCTCTCAATACATTATAACTTATCACGCAACAGTGCTGCAACAATACTTAAAACGTGGCAAAAGATGCCACAGTAAATGTCACTAAAAAGTCCTTACTACGCAAAAATATCAGTAATGACCCCTGCTGCCATCAAAAAGCATAAAATGTCAATAGAAAATGTCAGAAAACAAAAATTTCAAAAATCCTTTCTACTCTGAACAAGTCAAAAATTCACAAAAACATCGTAAAACACTTGTTACTGCTCACGCACATGTGCCACGTCCTTGGACACCCCACTGGCCACAAACCGCTGGAAGTGAACCCAGGCAGTGCAGGCCATGTGCAGGCCCGGGCCGATGCCCAAGACTGGGGCCAAGCATCCACGAAGCTTCCGATCGAACGACGCCGACTCCCTGACGTAATCGAATGATGTCAGCAGCAGCGCCCGCCAGATGCGCGTCTGCAGCCTCCAAGGGAAGGACCAGCCCGTGGGGCAGCTTCTGGCCAGTTTTGCCGCGACCGCGTCCAGATTCGCGGCAGCTTCTGCATATTCCTGCTCCTCGAAGTGGGATTGCTTTGGGACTTGGAGGCGCCGGACGGCGCCCCTGAGCCTCGCGTTGTCCACTCGTAGGGCCTCCTGAATTGGAAAACAATAGATTAGATAAAGTGCTGTGCGAAGTACTGGGCGAGTCGTGGAGTACTGAAAGGATGCCATAGGTAGCAAAAGTGCTGAATGAATTCTGAAGCAGGTATTGGAAGTTCTGCTGCCCTGTTCAGTCAAACAACAACGCACCGGCCTATATTTTACGGCCGCAACAATAAAGAATAGTGAACTGCATTGGATACTACTGTTTCAATTTTTGATGTCATGATCATCGTCATTACTTGTCATCAATACATGTCTCAATGTTGTCGGCAGCATCAAAAAAGGGTAATCAGCATCTGATGATCGACAATATACTGAAACATTTGCTGGTGTGTGAGCTGGCGGAGTGTTGCTGTAGAAACGCACATTCAGGCGACAGGGAGCCCGAAACAGCACACCAAAATCACGGGAGGAAGGTAGGGAAAAAAGACACAGTGGCAAAAGACAGAATTTGAAGGGCAGAACAAAGTTTCCATTCTGGAAAAACTTTTGAAAAACTGGCATTAGGCTCAGTATTTAACAACACTACTTGGCCATTTCTTTCTGAAGAGCATTGTGTGTCTTAGACACACAGTGAGATGAGCACAGCGATACGTGCCCCTCCACAACTGGAGTGGAGCCAACCACACATTCGGGGGGCAGAAGGGGCAGGAAGAATAAACGCCCCACACCTTGTCTCCCTCAGCCTCGCCTCCCCACGCTCCCTCATCCTGCGGCGCCCCGAGGTTGTCCGCCAGCACGTGCGCAAGCACATCCCTCCACCTGGCGAAATCCTCAAATGCCCTGAAGTCTTCCGGACGGGCCCTCTTCAGCAACTGCACCAGCATCTCAAAACTGGCAACGCGGGCCCCATCGCTTTTTTCGCCCACACCCTTCCCGCTTTTTTCATCCGCGCTTCCTGCCTCTCTCCCTGCGCCCCCTTCCTCCCCGCTTCCCAACTTTTTCTCTCCCAATTTTTTCCCACCTTTCCCACCTTTTTCACTTTTTTGGCCCCAAACCCTTGCGCTTTTATCACTTCCTTCGCCTGTTTCGCTTTTTTCGCCCGCAACCCCCGCGCTTTCCTTCCCCTCTTGGGCCCCTGCAAAAAGCACCACCCTTTGGATGTCCGCCGCCCTGGCCGTGCTGAGCCCAAGCTCCCTTCTCACAGATTCCAACAATGCCTCCTCGCCAGTGCAGCAATGTACTACCAGTGTATAAGCAAGCTCCCGAATCTCCTCCTCATCGAATCCATCCGCCGCGCCCTCACTCTCGAGGGCTGGCGCCGGAAGGCTTCCAGAAGCCTCCCCCGTGAGGACTTCCGGTTTGAAAGGGTCCAAGAGGAGGTTTGCATTGATCAGATCGCGTTGACCATCGGCCCGACTGCGTTGACCATTGGCATTGAGTTGGCCGGTCGTGTCACGGGACGAGCTTGGGAGGGAGATGTCACTGGCGCTGAGGCTGCCACGGGAGCGGGAAGTGCGATTGGATGGTTTGCACAGCTGGGCGATGTCGAGCTTCCATTCTGCAAGGGGCAGACGAATATCGACATTTAGTTGGTATCTAAATACTGTATCTAAATATCGCATCATCTAGACAGTATCTCAATATCTAAATGTATCAAATCATCCAAAATCTAAAATATCTCACCTACTGATCCACATAGCATCTAAGTATCATTATATGCTGCATATTGTTTCTTAGATGCGAAGAGTATCGACACATAGATGCAACGGGTACTGTACTGAGGTGTGATGAGCATCTTCATCATGCACGACCTGCCAGTGATGCTGTCTTAGTAGCAGGAGGCGCGATTGGATGGTTTGCGCAGATGGGCGATGTCAAGCATCCATCCTACAAGGGGCAGATCAATATCAATATATAGATACAGTGGGTAGTTATTTAGATATGGTGAGTATCGATGAAGGGATGCAGTGAGTACTGTACTGAGATGCGATGAGCATCTCTAGTACGCATGACATGCCATTGATGCTGCCAGCATTGCGTGGGGCGCAGGCAGGCGGTTTGCACAGCTGAGCGATGTTGCTTTTCCATTCTGTGGGAGCGGGGAGGAAGGGTGAGTATCGAATGGAGCAGTACTGGAATACGACACAATCGATGATGGTGCCAGCACCACGCTTAAGTACTGCAGGATGGTGCGACCTTAAGTACTGCAATAATTTGATGGCCTTAGTGGCCCAAATTTGCCAGTAATGAGCTATGATTGCTGTCAAATGCCACTGATGCTGGGGGTGCTGCAGGCGCTGTGCATCGATGGTAGCACAGGTGGGTGGTGTCAGGGTTCCATACTGTGAGAGCAGGGATGGGACTGATGCCTAAATCCCATAAGTACACCAATGCCACAATCAAGGATGCAGCGGGTGCTGCGGGTAGATGGTTGGCACAATGTGCAAACCATGGTGTCACCTGATGACACGTCGTCTGGGCAACGCTGATCTTCCATTCTGCGAGGGCCAGGGGAAGGGTTGAGCATCGACGGGACTGATGTTGATGTACGGCGCGTATCAGTACTATTTTTGGTACAGCACTACTGTGAAAGGTAGTTTGAAAGTCCACCGCTGGAACAGACGCCCAACAGGAGAACAGCAAGAAACACTGCTGAGACAAAGCAATGCTTGCAAGTGATGTGCATCGAGGTGTGCATGATTGACAGAGGGCAGCGGGCCATGGTAACCCTCTTTCAAACACAAAGATGTTGTAAGGCACAGTACTGTACAGTACCTGGTTGCATGACTGTATCCTGCCAAGGACCAGGTGTGGACACCTTGGGCTGTGACATCGAATCAGCAGTTCTAGTTTAGGGCACTGGACCATGCCTTTTCACACCTTTCTTGATCGTCCTCAGAAGGGCGTGCACATCCAGGCTGTCCAGGAGCCACCGCTCAGCGCCATCAGCACCAGGTGGGTACACCACACGACCCCCATGCCGCCGAAATGTCTGTTTTCAAAATTTTGAAACAGAGAGGATTAGTGAGAGTTAAGGGACTTTTAGATGTTATTTGCTGCATAAGTTATCATACCATAAGTTTGTGTAGTTTTGATATGTTTAAGAGACAAGCAAGAGTCCCAACGGACCCAAGGACGGTTGATAACCAGTACCAGCCATCGTCGATGGTCGCCACTGTACACTGGTACGATAGCAGTACTTCAGTAAGGACAACATTGGCCACATCAAATTACTCATCACATTTCCAGAACTAAAATGGTCACTCACTTAATTCGATGAGGACTAATCAACTACCAGAAAGAATGGGCGGCCATCCTCAATCGCTGTTATTCTTGGGTGGCCGTCACCCCTCATCGTTTTTTTTTACCAGGGTGCTGGCCACGCACAAGAAAAGCGATGAAGGATGGCTGCCCTTGGTTCAAAATAGAGATGAGGGGTGCAGCGTCCCGAAAAAAAGCCTGCTAGGGTCGGGTGCCCCTGCATAAAAAACGAAGAGGCAAGAACGGCCGTTGAAAACAGCGAAGCGTGATGGCTGCCCTCTCCAAACACAAGCAACGAGGTACACCAAGACTGAAAAAAAAACGCCGGCCTGGTCAAAAAAAGCGATGAGGGATGTCCGCCCAGCAAAACCAAAACAAAGCGTCGGGGGATAGCCGCCCTGGTTAAAAAAAGCGATTAGGGGTGCCGGTCGCGACAAAAAAGCGATGAAGGATGACCGCCCTCGATCAAAAAAAGCGATGAGGGATGCTGCGACAGAAAAAAAAAGCAATTGAGGATGGTCGTCCTCGGTGGAAAAAAAGCGACGAGGTATGTGGCGCCCGGAAAAAAAGGCCGCCAGGGTCGGGCACCCGAGAGGAGTTCCGCCGCCCAGGAGCGACGGCGGAGCCCCATGAGCCCCTCGGCATTGGCCGTTTTGGTGGGGCCCCGGGGACCCGCCCCGTTCAAAAGGGGGCCAAGTTTCTGGTGGCGGCAAAATGGGCGGGAAGGGATCGCGCGACCCGGTCCGCGTCCCACGATGATCAACGCCCCGCGCGTTGACCCGGTGACCCCTGCATGCATGCAAGTCACGGGCGACCGGACTCAAGCGAAAGCACATTTTCAGCGATAATGTGCGGGCGGAAGGAGCAGCCTGGAGGGGTCCACAACAAGAGACAAGGTCCGGACGCCGTGGGAGGGAGCGGAGTCTCGAAAATCGAGCTGAGGAGATGGGGAGACTTGCTAACGGAGTGTGTGAATCATCGGCACGGCAGGTCCCGGAAAAAAGGGCGGAGAAAGGTTTGAACGAGCCACAGTTGCGGGGGCTCGCACAAAAAGGGACGGTAAAATAATGTGCACGACCAATGAGCAAGGGAACCGGGGCCGCTGGTTGGGGTCCCCGTCAGAAAGGGCTGGACAGGGAGACTGCCAGCAAGGCAACGGCGGAGACGGGGCGCCGGGCAAAGCCGGCAGTCGGAGAGCCGCCCCCCACAAAAAAAGAAGGGACAGAATAAAACAAACACCGGCGCACGGACAGGGCCGCGGGAGGGGACATCGCGACAGTTGAGCCTTCGGGGTCAAAAATTGTTGTGGCCGGCAGGAAGGCACGGGCCAGGCATGGGCGCATGGAGGGGGGCATCGCGTCAGGGAGGTCTCCCGGGGAGGCCTTGGCGAAGGCCGACGACTTTTTTTTTGGCCGGGCGCCCGACGGGAGGAGACGAACCCCCCCATGCCCCCACGCCAAAGGCCCCTCTGCCTGGGGCTCCTCTCCAAAATGCCCTCCAAAAGGAAAGAGCCCTCGAAAAGAAATTGGCCTCACAAGGAGAAAGCATGGGCGACAGAGGGAGCGGCCAAACAACGGACGCCACGGCGCAATGCCTGACCAGGGGCGGTTCGCGAAATGCCGAAGAGAAAACAAAAGGCGAGGAGAAGTTACCGGACAGAAGGCCGTCCCACGCCATTTGACGGGCCCAGCCCACACACTCCCCCAGCCCGCTCCACAGGGAGGCCGAGAGAAGCTCAAACATGAACCAATGCCTCTTGAGGGAGGCCAAACAAGGAGCACGCATCATCAGCCCTTGCGGTAACCCCGTCAAAAAACCCAAGCCAGCTCTGCAGGGGGGCCCAACAAGCTCTTCCCCTACCCGTTGGCTCTAGAGGTAGGGCGAAAAATGCGCATGCACCATCAACCCATGCGACCGGGCATCTCGCTCAACTAGCTCGGTCAAAATGGACTGGCACGAGGCTCGGTCAAAGAGAAATAACTACCAAGACAATGCACGCCATCCAAATCCGACCCCCACTCCCCACCCCCCCTACCTGCAGCGCGAACCCGATGAGCTCCCTCCGATCCTCCAGCAGCTCCGCCCGGTCTTCCAGCGTCAGCCTTCCGCCGCCGCCCACCGTGGACCCAACGTTGACCGCAGCGTTGACCGTTGACCCAGATTTGACTGCCCCCGTGACCGCCCCGCTGACCTCCCCATTGACCGCCCCGTTGGCCGCCCATTCTCCCAGAGATGCATTCTCCACGGACCGGCTCCGCTGCCGATGCAGCACGCGGGCCGATCCCCGCGGGGTCGTGAAAGAGCCCGCCAGGATGCCGAGGTATGCGCGCCGCACTTTGCGCTGTGTCGGGCGCGAGCGTTGACCGGCGGGAAACGCCACGCGGGCGTTGACCAGGGCGTCGACGGTCAACAGCGGTCAACTGACCGCGGGGGGTGAGGGGGGTGGGGAGAGGGATGGGCATCGTGGGAGGAATCGCTGGTCGTTGTGGTGGGGCGGAGCCGCGCGACTGATGGGCCGCGTCTGGCCGCGGTGTCAGTACTTTATGGTACAACCATGACAGTACTCCCACCACAGGACTTCTGCATCAGCATCCCTGTGTGCAAATGACGCAGTACTTGTGTG